ATAAAAATTGAGGGACTAAGCAATATTGATTGTTACACTCCAAAGCCAGCAAGGGAAAGGGAGGCATATGGGTGGGGGTGTGTATGTTGGAAGAGGCTGAGAGTACGGGAGGTTGAGAAATTAGTTAGGAAAAAGGAAGGGGGAACTGAAACAAAAACACATCTTACTGCTATGTTAGCACTCGTTTACTAGAAGTATATACTGAAATTATTTGCATTGATTATCTCAGGAGATTTAAGGTAGACTACACTATTTACTAACAGTAGCAGGTATGCCACTTCTATAGTTCCTTTCAACCAACCTGCTGCAACTCTATTTTCCAAGTCCTGCAGTCTTAATGTGGAGACTTTTACTTCTCCCATAGGCCTGAGAAAGGAAGTATTTGCAAATTCTTTTAGCTAAATATTCCTGTGGCAAAAAAGTAATTCAACCTCACTTCTTTGTTAATGATCATGGCTTTCCAACTCCTTTCCTCTGTAGTTGATCTTAAAGACTGAAGAACAATAAGCTTAAAGATTGCGGAACAGTAAGAAAGTACACATAAAAATAGGGGAATTCTGCACAAGAAATATTAATTCTTCTCAGGCATAGTAATATCTTTTTAGCAGCAGACAGTGTTGCTACACAGTCATCAGGGTTTAAAGTGGAAGTTATTCTTCCATTACAAATTCGTATTCCTTAAAAGCTGTGTTTTATAACAACAGATCTAGCTTACTGAAATCAACAGATTGTCTCTTCCTCCCTTTGGTAGCCAGTCGGATTATTGGCTGGTGGGTCTAAATTTGTAACTCATTTAGATATGTATTAATGGAATATGCTGAAAAGAAAAAGTTGTGCATTCCCAAAATAATCTGTGTTTTGCTAGTTGTATTCTTGGTTTGGTCTGGTGTTGGAGCCTGTAGAGGAAGGCAGAGGGTACTTAGAAGTTTCTTGCACTTGGTGATTGTTGCTATATTCAGTTATCTGTTGCTACCCCTGGATAGGAGGCTAAAGCAGATGAGGAAATGCTCATACAGTCCCTCCTGTCAGGAGAACTGTGGAGAGAGTAGCGTCCAGCTGATGAGCAGTGACAGGTAATTGGGATCAGTAACATGCTCTGTAGTCAGAACTAGGGGGAGTCATCTGTCCATGGCCTGTGCCTCGTAGCTGGAAGTGGCTTATGCCCATAGAACCCCATATTTCATTGAAAGTAGTGGAATATAGTGGTTTTGGATATGAGACATCTGTGCCTTTGTAGGCTGTATCTGCTAAATAATAATTTAAAGGATTGTTGTTCTAGGACTTAACTAAGCCATCTACATTTGTAAAATGGTCCATGAAGCTGAGTAGAAAGTGAGCGTTCTAAGGTGTAACAAATTAATAACACAGGTTTTGGAAAAATATATACTAAATCAGAAGTAGTTCAGTGCTATTTTCTTTGAAATCAGTATTTTATCTTCAGCTTGAAGGTGAATATAGGTAAACTGCTTAAAGCTTTTGAAAAAGCTTTTATTTAAAAAAAAAAAATTTATGCCAATAATAAATTACTTCCCTTGTGTACAGAATATACATATCATGGTCTAGCATGTCCCATAGATACTCTTTACCATTTTACTATTGACTAAAGCATTTCTTCAGATATTGTTTTGTAACTCTGCGTTTAATCATTGAACACCTAAACTACAGTGGTATTTGAGCAGTGGTTTTTCTGCAACATAGGAGTAAACTTTGGTCATCTGTGAATAATCCTACCGTATTAGAACTTTAAGCTAACTTTATTATCTTGAACAAACACAACAGAAAATTTTTAGCTAGCTATTGATATTGTAAGCATACTTCTTTTTAACTTCCTCATTTTCATCAGTGTGTCTTTATGTATTTTAAAATGCACATTTCTGCATTGCTTTTGTTTCAGATCTGTAGCAGTGCAAGCCCTTTGAATAATATGCAAATTATCTGTTGATAAGGGAAAGCAGTGTTAAATCTCTGGTTTTGAAGCTTAGCGAATCTACTTGTTCATGACAAAAAAACAGCTGTAGAGAGGGCACCTACACTTCTGATCTGAATTTTTAAATCAGTGTTGCTCCCTTTTTAATTCTCCGTGCCACTCCACAGCCCTGTTGCTCCTAGCTTTGCCAATCTGCAAGATGTTGAAAGTTGACTAACCTTGCGTTTGCTGCTTCTGTTGTCATCTACTGCAACAAGCAAACAGACAAGTGCAGGGAATACCTGTGGGAAACTGCTGTCTTCACAGCAGCCAGGAGATTTTGGGATGAGAGAGAAAATAAACTGAGGCAGATGATACTTCAAATGTATAGTCACTCACTAGATTCAAGTTGATACAAACAGCAGATATATCAAACAGGATCTCAGGACTGTATTGTCCTCTTTGATTCAGTGGAAAGCTGTTTATGTTGGATCTTTCCATTACTAAATACTAAGGGTAAGAGGATAAAAGTATTTGGAAGGAACAGAGAAGAGTAGGTTTGATTAAATAACTTGATTTTGAAAGAGATGAAAAGCAGAAATCTATGGAGAGGCCACACAAAATGGAATAGGACAGGAGAAGGAAAAGAGAAAACGCTAAACCATGATAGGCAAGAAATTAAAGGAATAAGCAAAGTTAGACAAAGTAGGGCTTTAAGGGAAGAAGTATAGTAAGTTATTTTTTGACTTAAGAAATGGAAAGTTTCATAGCTGACAGTTTGAATGAAGCACATGTGAAATGTGGCTGGGTGTTCTTCTTTCAATTGCAAGTGGTGGGATTTCAGCCTAGTAGAGCAGTTATTCTTCATGATGGCTAGTGGGCATCATGCAGTGGATATTGAATACACATCTTTGAAGTCTGGATTTGTATTGGAATTTTTGTCATTTCAGTGCTGCTCCTAGTTTCAATTTCTCCCTTTTCCTTCAGCTACACTAAAAGAGCACGATAGGAGCTCCTCCTCACCTACCATTGATTTGCCTGGGTGTAGAGTGTCTCAGTGTTTGCTTGGACACCAGACAGAGTCTGGGTCTAGAAGCCCGTCATCACCAGACTTTACCACTAGCACTTTGTGCAGATCTGGTGTTACAGCAGCACCATCAGGGAGTACCAATACTTTGTCTTCTGTTTCATGGTCTCAGAGTCAGTGGATTTCTTTTGCTGATGAACTTCTTAAAATTAGACACCCAAATGCAGACAAGAAGGAGCCCCAAAGATTGCATTTAAAAACTGAAAATGCCTGCCTTGCCTCTTCTGCTTTGCTTGGGAATTCTTCCAACAGCTGTGCTTCTGAGGATCAAAGTGACCTTTTCAATAATACTATATGCCATGAAAAATTATTCATTGAAGAAACTGGCACTGCTGCTGAAATTTCTTCCACATCATCTTCAGCGCTCCTGGACTATAGCTTAGTGTCTTCTTGTGTTCATACAAATAAGGGTATGGCCAGCATGTATTGTGTACTGCTCTTTGCTAATAACTGACTCTAAAAAGCAAGCTTTGGTGATTTTTCTCTTCCTTATTATCGCTCACCTGATGTTAAAATTAACTCATCTTCTCATTTATACTGTACTAAACTGCTTATTAGCACTGGCTTTCTTGCAAGTTAGGACATTGAAATAAATATTAAGCCTGAAAGAAGAAGGAAAATGTATTCGGCTAAAGGCATTGCTTTTTCTTAACAATATGGAGCTTTATTTTTCTAGAAATAGAATATATTTTTGTGGGATGTCAGAGCAGTGAGCGATCTCAAGGATCAAATGACTGAACATGCAAAAATAATTGCATCCTGAAATGGCTTTGTACAGATATTTTCAGATTAAATATAATGAAATAATTTGGATTAAAAACTGTGCCTTTTAACATCCAGTATTTTGAAATGTGGATGATACTGTAGTAATGCCACATACTAATAAAGCAAAGGAAAAGTACATTTGGGCGAGTGTGCCGTGGTTTTTCTATATACCTGTGATACTGCAGCATACTCCACCCAGTGTTTAGCATGCACTGTCTACCTTGGACATAACAAGATGAATTTTAAAGGAATGGCTGATATCTCAGAACTGAATTTATTTTTAGCAATAGTGTTTGGAACTCTAAGGTGAGATGTGGTCGGTACTGACCAGATTTCTTTCTTCCCCAATCAGTGATGAAACTCCCTTACTTCAATGAGAGCAGGGTTATGCTGAATGGCTGAGAAAATTCTGTGCTTGACAGCTGCCTTTAAAATAACTTTAACTGATGTCATTTAAAAAAAAAATCCAAAATAATTTGAGGGAGATATGCTGTAATTATATATATCCAATATTAGGGTTTAAGTCTATTTTGAAGTTAATTTTAGATCTGGCATACTCATTGGATGGCATCTAACATTTATTTTGAAGTACAGTTCTATTCAGAAAAGTGACTATGTAAAAGTGGCATCTTTGTACTGCTGCTCACCTCAGCATCTATTAGTTGTTTCTGTTAGGTTTAGAAGGACGTGGGGGCAGTATTTTCTTTGTTTTTAAACACTTTTACCTCTGATAGCTTAGCTAAGAGATAATAAGGAGATACTGTGTTCTTGCAATCAACAGAATCATTTATTAAGTTCTCTCTGTTACAGTAGTGCTTACCTATCGAAGGTGATGGGATTTCAGGAAGCATAATTTGATGTAAACCATTGTCAGCTAGGACCAAATATAGTCCGCTGAATTTTCCATTTCTGGTGAGACACGAAAGACTATCCTACATTCTGAATCCATACAGGTTATACAGAAAAGGGAGCGAGGTAAAACCGTCTTTTTACATACAAACCTCTGAGGATAGTTCGTACAAAATCATTTGAGAGCAACGAGAAAGCCTACGGTGCCACTTTTAGAGTCACTTTTCAGGGTATCACAGGGCCCCATTTTAAAAACAGTTTTGATTAGTGGTGAATCTTACAAAATGCGGCTTGTAAAATAGGAGCTTTCATAGAAGCGCAACTTCCAGTGATGCTGTTCAAGTAAGTATATGGTTATGTTCAGTGTGACTTTTCTAATGTTGATTTCCTTAAATTTGCTTTCTTTCAGCAAGGCCCACAACTCCTCTTTCTGTAGGCACAATTGTACCTCCTCCAAGGCCTGCTTCAAGACCAAAGTTGGCTACAGGGAAACTTAGTGGAATTAATGAAATAGTATGTATTGATTTTAATTCTCCATTGTAACTCAATTTCACATATGGCCATTCACTTACGCTGTTACAGTGGAGTCACTTTCCAGCCGTATTCAAGGGATGGCATACTTAGATTTTCAACATGGCAGAATGGGCATGGAGGTTGTTCAAGAAGATTTTGAGTTGTCTTTGTTTTATGTCAGCTCACTCTCCAGTTCCCACAATCTGTATAAAAGGCAGATACTCAGTGATAAGTACGATAAAAACAAAATAAAAAAATAATTACCTAACCAAAATAGATGCCTCAGGAATTTCAGTACCTTGTAGTTAGCTGAATCTTGAAAAGTTTAAATTAATACCCTAACAGTTAAGTGAATCATAAAATCATCAAAAGATTTAGGGTGGAAGGGACTTATGCAGGTCTCTAGTCCAACTTTCTGCTCAAAGGAGGGCTGACTTCAAAATTGGATCTGATTGCTCGGAGACATGCTGAATTTTGAAAATCGTATATGGAGAGGGAAATCTCACGACCTCTTTGGGCAGCCTGCCGCAGTGCTTAACCACTCATGTGATGAGAATTCTTTTCATTATGTTCCATTGAGATTTCCTTTGCTATAGCTCTTGCACCTCTGAGAAAAGCCTGAGTCCATCTTCTCTGCAGCCCCCTTTTAGGTAGTGGAAGACTGCTGGTAGATCCCCCCTGAGGCTTCTCATCTCCAGGCTGAACAAACCCAAGTCTCTCCACCTCTGCCCAGCTCTCATGTCTTCCAGCCCGCTATCTCAGTTGTCCTCTGCCAGCCTCACTTGCAGTTTGTTAGCAGCTCTCCTTTACCTGTGACAAACCACATTTGCTGCTCTCACACGCAGGGCTGTAGGCTTAGATTCTGCCACTGTGATGTAGCTCAACCACTGACAGGCTGTTACGGAATCAAACACAGTAGACTTTACTAGGAAAAAGATAATAATTATCTATGCAACTGTGGAATTGATTTCCAGGGAAAATGTACGTTCCCTGGTTTACACTGAAAACTAGGATAGATAAAGCACTAGAAGAAATACGCTACAGAAATACTGTGATATTTATTGGAGAACAAAATTAAGTCTTTTTTTTTTTTTACTTACAGTCTGTTTTCATCCTTTTAAAATCGCTTCCTGCCTACCTAATACTCTTGTGATGTCTTGTGTTAAGCCTAGGCCGTTCAGCCCTCCACTGACCTCTAACTCAAGTCCACCACCTGCAGCTCCCTTGGCACGTGCAGAGAGCGTTTCCTCAATATCCTCTTCGGCTTCCCTGAGTGCAGCAAACACACCTACAGTTGGTAAGTTATATTAACCATTTTAACTTATTTTTGAAAGGGCATGAATCCACCACTAGTTTCCACCTGTTAGGAAAACCATTCTCTTGGAGTAAGTTGTTCCATTTGTGAGTCCAATTTAGGTACTTCAAGCATCCCTGGAAATATCTGCTTCTAAATGACCCTGAGAGACAGGACAGCGGATTTGAGTAGATTAATCTGTTGATCTAATTATAGCATGTTCTTTAGTGAAACATTTTCCGAATTAAAGTACCGTGTGAATTCATATTTAGTGTGCTATATGCCCGTTCATCAAGCACAACCTGTTATTCTGTATTTGTCTGGAAGATGTTATTGTACAGATTTAGAAACGTTTTTGGATACTGATAAGTTTGAATGAATATACTTGTTTACAAAAATGAGTTATTTTTATGTTATTTTGTTTGTTATTCTGTTATTGCTCTTTCCAAAAAATGAAACTGATACATCTTTTTCTTCAATAGTGCTAAACAGAGGTTAGTAAAAGCAAAAACATGGAAGAGATGAAAAGCAAGTCAGTCTTCATGTGCTGCCACTTATTCAGAATGTTTGCTCTGTATTTACAGAATCAGAACTTTAATTAAAGTCTTTTGGTTTTGATAACCACTGTTGGCTGTATCAAATCTCAAGGAGACTTTTTAACTTGTTTCTTTAGCAGAACTGAAAGAAAGGCAGTGTTTTATTCTTGAACACTAGTACTTCAGTCCTAAGTTAAATCAGATGAAGTTAACAGTCACTTAGCTGTAAATACGTTATTAATGCCATGCCTGGGCTCAGCACCTCAGGAAAGCGGCTGCACGGCTCCCAGAGGCCGTTGAGCATTGACAGCCGTGCAGCTGCTTCCGTGCTCTGCTGGGCCTGAGCCGGTAAGCAGGTAAGCTCTGCCCAGCCTTAGCTGCCACAGTTCTGTATCGACCGGTTTCCCAAAGCTGAGAATCCAGATAACTGATTTTTAGATGCAGTCAGCTTCAGTCCATCCAGGCTCATTTCCTCAGGTCTCAGCACTGATGACCAGAAGTCAGTGGCAGCAGCTCTAGCTCTGTCTGTCTGTGTGTGACAGGCAGCTCTGTGTGTGCGTCTGTGCACATGCGCAAGACCATAAGAGGAGCCAGGCAGCTGTGGTAGCAGCTTGTCCGGAGGTGGGATGGGAGGAGAGGCTAAGAGGGGAACAATCATAGGGGGAAATGGTGAAGGGAGGAAGGAGGCAAGAGGGAAGTGTGTGCTGCTAGCACGGTGTGAAAAGGTTGCTAACGTGGCCTAGCACAAATATGCAGGGCAAGTTCTGTCTGCAGTGAATGTATGAGTTGATCCTAGCAGGCTGGGAAGGGCAGTGCAGATGGCTGAATGACTTGGGGGTGTGAGGATATACTCTGCACTGTTGTCTGTATTACTTGGAGGGGTTTGCACAATCCAGTGTTTCCCTTACTCCATTAGTTCTGAATACTGGAGAGCTGACTATAATTATCTTGTTCCAAGGGAACTTCTTGACATGTATGATTTTATTTCTTAGAGCATCTATTTCTTTATGCTTTACTCTTATTTTCATTTGCATAATATTTCTATATATATTACATTGTTTAACATCTATTATTGCTTGCAATATTTTGTTTTCTTGCAATGTTTTGTTTCATTTAAATATAATAGAGGATGATCTTTTGATTGGAACACTTCCTACAATTGAAAAGCTTTGTGAGACATCACCAGGTATCGTACTAGAAGCAGACTTACATGTTAACTAATCATCCTAATGCACTACACCTAATAAATTTGTATTCTTTTGGCACAAGTTATTCCAGCTATTTCTGGTGTCTGACAGATATAAGTAGCTTTAAAGCTCAACTACTTAACAATTTATATGTTGCTGTAATCATCAAAAGTTGATATAACCACTCTTACGCAACATAATCTTCCATCTATCCCCTCAAAACAATATGAAACTTGGTCTTGTGTCCTCAGTTTTCTATCACTTGTTTCATTCAAGAAAAGGGGACTATATTGAGGTGGTTGTGACCATCTTTATTCTCACAAAGACAAGTAGATAAAACCTTTTTTATATGTACACCTAATACAAAGCGGAGTTGAAGATGCAGACAATATTTTTTATGCTTTTTTCAGCACAATTTTGCTATTATTAAAACTATGTGAATCTTTGCTCCTCAACTGAACTCAAACCATTTGATCAGATTTATTCAGTTAATCTTGCTGCGTTATTTCCCCTTCATATGACGAAGGATAGTCTTTTATTCCGCAGTTTTGCTACCTCTTCATATGTGTCAGTGCAACTGTTTCATGTGCTTGTGCCATCAACTCTTGTGTCAGCACAGCTGGCGGGATGCTACCTGTGGTCGAGGCTGGGGCGGGAGGGAATCGAAGGCAGCTTTGCTGGCGCTGACGACACATCCTAGGTCTGGAACCTGCAGCTGGGCTGTACCTCGAGACGGAGCGAATCCGTCTCCGTGTGATCTGCTGACGTCTGTCCCCCGAGAACTCGCAGCAGCAATGGAGTGCCCTGAAGCAGTACATCGCTGCACTGCATTGTTAGGCTTGTATTTGCAGCAGCAAGACAACAAAATGGTGACTTCCAGAGTTAGTTTAAACATAATTATGTTTGTTTCAAGCTGTTGCTTTTTAGAAGAACACTTAGATTTTTATGAAACGCAAAGGGCAAGGAAGAGTAGGGGCAGGGCAAATAAGAGAAGAAGCGGTCTCCATTTGTAGTCCCTCGGATACAGCTCAGAGAAATGCTTATACAATATCACGCCTACGTTATTTGCTTTGGCGTTCTCAGAGGAACATGCAAGTAGCCTTATCCCTGCTCAACAGCACTCCTCAGGCAGTCAAGACATCGGTATTTGTCTCTTACAGATAGGAATATAATTTATACATTTGCGTTACTCCGCATGGTTTTCAAATATCAATATAAATTTATCTACAAGAATATAAGAAGAAAAAGGATTTAAAAATAATTTATAACTCTGTAAGATCACCTCCTATCTGCTCTGCAGTTGTTTGTTGCTCCTTTAGTAAGCTGAGGGGAAAAGACAGTAAAACACTCGGGCAGCTGTGGTGCCACCAACATTGTTTGCATGCACACTTTGACTTCGGTGCAGAGTACTTCTGCAGTTCAGTGTTTCACTAAACAGAATCTAATGAATAGGTCTGATTGTTATTAACTCATGATTTTATCACATCTTTGTTTTTTGAAATCCTGATTTCTGGATTTCTAAGACAACTGAGACTCACAGCTTTTAGTGCTAGTTTTCAGGGTAAGAGGGAAAACTTTGGAAACGTGACCCCTGTGCACTCTGAAAGAACACATAAAAATAACCTACTGTTCATACTTAAAGTCAGTGTTTTGTAGCCAGTTTTTTAATCATCTCTTCCATCTAAGATTTTCTCATTTTGAACACTTGTGCCTAGAGCAGTCCTGTGGATCTAAGAAGGCCTAAATGTTATACTAAGGGATGTTTTTCATGGTGCTGAAGTGTTCAGAACATTTTACTAGCTTAGGCAAGAAATGAGGAGGGAGAGTAAGGTATGATAGATAGTAGCAGAATGAGACCAGCTCCCTCCTTTTACTCTCCTTTTGTTACTACTTCTTCCACCTACCCTGAATCTAATCATAAAATCTCATATTGGACACTGAAGAACAAGGTCTCAGCTTCCTCTGTGCTTCTGAAAGAGCTCAGAAGAGGGCACAGCCACTATTTTAAAGTAAACAGGAGTAGTTTGACACTGACAATATTTTATGGAAGCATTGTGTTTCTGCTTTATGGTATGAAAGAATAATTTCTCTCATTTTGCTCATGGAATGAGAAAAACTGCCTCCTTTGGGATAAATAAACTACATGACACAGGCCAGTTCAGCAGCAGTACAAGAAGTTAATGTAA